TATTTGTCTGTATATGTTCTTATTATTTGAACAGACAACTGTACGCGTATATTATTTGTGGCTGATCCACAGCTGATTGGCAATTCTTACGAAAAAGGCTTTTGGAGCCCGATATCCCGTTATGATGCAGATAGGTAAGCAGAAACTTAAAGTTCTAAACCTTATCGAGCCTTATAGAAATTAAGCCAGCACAACACAGATCGCGTTAAATCCCGAATTTTAATTTTTCAGTCAAAAATTGTGAAACAAAATTTAATTAACCGGATAGTTGTGTTTCAGTTTTTCGTATCGAATAATAAAAATGGTTCTTTATGTCGCCATATTTGTTACAGATATTTGCGCAAGACTTTCGAGCGATCGCTACACTTCACTCAGCCACATATCATTTGTTTTTTGGGTGATCTGTTGGACGAGGGTAGTATTGCCACACAGCAAGACTTCGATGCCTATGTAAGACGTTTTCATCGCATTTATAACACACACACAGATGTAAAAGTGAGTTCTTATTTGAAGTTTTAGAAATTAAACCTCAACAAATGTAAATATGTATGTATATAGTTTAAATTAATATCTCCATATGCGCAGCGCATTCATGTGCCGGGGGATAATGACATTGGCGGCGAAGATGGTGAATATATATCAAATTCGAACGTGCATCGTTTCGAAGAAGCTTTTCAAAGTGAGGATCTCTTCGATTACGAAAATATGTTACGTTTCTTCAAAATCAACCGAATGATGCTCGACTTTACGAATCCAGATCGTGAGCACAACAAACAACGGCTGCGCGTTGGAATATCCCATGCTCCAATTCTAATTGGAGGTGGGCCACTTTTGCGTTCAGTGCTCAGCGAATTAGACCCACATGTCATATTCTCTGGACACTGGCATGAATCCAGGATTTTCATACATCCATCGACTCACGTAGTGAATTTCTATGAGTCGACGGTACGACACTTTGATTTGCGTGGCCTAAAAGAAAGAGAGCATCAGTACTTGGAGATTATGGTGCCAACAGCTTCGTATCGCATGGGCAAAACGAAGATGGGACTAGGATATGCTGTGTTAGGTAACTTAATAACGGTTTGCAGACGATTTTTTAATAATGAAAATTTAATTGTAGAAAATTACCAACTTAGATACACAGTTCTCTGGCAGCCCAGCCGTTTTATTTACCTATTTCTATACTTGTTTTGGCTAATTCTATCATTGTGTGGCTTTATTGTGTTTCGAATGATGACACGATGTCCTTTTCGTGTAGCCAAACGTCAATCGGCATACAATCGTATTTTAAGCGTAACTCAGTTTTAGAGATTTTGAAGACTTTGAAAAAAAATATATATATGTATATACAAAGACCAATAAGCAACTGATATATATTAGATAGCAAAATAGTAAAAAAAACGCGCAAATGCTTCGTAACGCGCAAATGAGGTAACCATGTAAACCTCGTAAACTTACTTAATTTTGTATAGAAAATATGGTTATTTACGAGGTTTACGAGGTTACGAGGCATTTACGCGTTTCCATGAATACCCATAATATTAGATAGCAAAATAGTAAAAAACGCGCAAATGCCTCGTAACGCGCAAATGAGGTAACCATGTAAACCTCGTAAACTTACTTAATTTTGTATAGAAAATAGGGTTATTTTCGACGTTTTCGCGGTTACGAGGCATTTACGCGTTTCTATGAATACCCATAATATTTATATATATTTCGTAGTTTAAAGTACAGAACCGCGTATCATCATTCTGCAAAACTGCGTAACTGACATTTGCTGCCAAAAATTGGATTT